ACCACATATTTGTCAAGCTTCCAGGTATTAGAGCAAAAACCAACCCGAGAGAAGGCAGCCTTAGATATCTATAACCCTGTTCTAAAAAGCCCAGAATACCTCCTGTAAGGTAACAAATGAATATAGGTTGAATCCAGAACACTGTAGCTTTGTGCACAAGGAAGTCTCAGCAGCAGTTAGCATCACTGCAGTAAGATGACCCCAGGTAAGATGCAAGCAGTGCTTAAAAGGAGTAACGTGTACCTTCCCCAACTACTTTCAGATCTCAGAGGGAGGGCATCTGAATAACACAAATAGGTAAATTAATATCCTTATGGAATAAAACTGATTTAGCTGGCCACCAGGAAGGAAGAAGTTGAGCCTTCACAAGGCAGTAACATTAACCTATCCCTGTGGAAAGGCACAGTGAGACTGGCTGAAGGCTTTGAGTACAATAAGCACAACCTCAGCTCAGAGCAGAGGTTTAACTGCAGCATCTCAAGCGACCACCAGCTACAGGACTGGGCAAACACAACTTAGGCCCAGGGATTCAACAGAACTTGCCATTTAAGCTTCCACTTGTGGATACAGCGTTGTTCTGTTTCTGGTTATCATATGCAGGACCAATATTGGCAAGATCCTGAAAGAGAGAAAAGAAATCCAAGGCATGCACTGAATCTTACCACTCAAAACCCACTTGCAGGTGCTGGGATACCCCAACACAGGCTCACAGTGTGACTTGGGTAGGTTTTACTCATTAGATGGCCAGCAAAAAGAGTCCCCACACCTTCCTCCCACCTCCCCACTGCACACTTTCCTTCCATCACCAACCACATACTTGGTCGAGAAGGCCAAACTTGGGGTAATCTTCTTCTGGGTCTTTACTTCCTGGGTCTGGATGCTCCTTCACCAAGAAGACATCTCTTTCTTTACACTATAAAAGAGAAGGAGTTTGAATTACACAAAGAAGGATCATACCAAGTTCATTAAGAGGTGTTTAAATCATGGTATTTATTAGCATGGGTGTTAATTATTGATGAAGCATTAGAACCTTCACCCTTTAGCTTTGCTATCAGCGAACACAGGCACCCCTCACACAAATTTACTTACCATGGTCTTGACAATATTATTAGGCCAAGTCATTTTCCCAGGTCTCTGGCGTGTCGTCATGCACTCCCAATATTTATCAATAAATGGGATAATATCCTGCAAAACAACCAACCAAACAGACCCTTTAACAGTGGCTGTGAAAGTCTCCCAGTGCCTGAGCATCACTGAAATCACAGCTCAGGTCAAAGCTGTGCTGCTTTTCAGAGCAGCCTCACCTTATCTTTGGAGAACATGGTTTTTGGGTGCTCATCCTGGGTCCTTGACTGCCACGTCAAGTTGGCCAGAGCACTAAGGCACATTTCCTTGAGATCTAAACCAGAAAGCACAGCAGTGTCAGAATTGGGTTGGGAAAAGCAAACACCCCCCCATCGACCATGTGTTCCTGGTCATTTTAGGGCAGCTTCAGCAGAGCTTTCCCTGGTGTTCAGCTCAAACAAAGCCTCCAGGCTTATCTTGCACTGAATGCACGCTTACTTGCTTGTTTTCTTAAGAAATAGGTGTTCCCACTGTGATGGCAAACGTTGCAATGGAAGCTGTAGTTGGTCATGAAAGGCAAGCAGGAACTGGAAAAGAGCAGGCTATTGGTCAGCAATAAGATACTGGTAAGATATTCCTTATTCTTTACTATAGAGGGTTACAAACCCAATTATCCCAGCTTAATTCTCCTCTCACAGGTTGAAGGATGCTTTCATCAATGGAGGTTGCCCATGGGCATCAAAAAAAGCCACAAAGCTCTGGAGGACCACTCAAGCTCAGGGTCACCTTCTTGCTATAGAGAAGCCCTGACATTCAGCCAGCAGAACAAGAGGCAACAAAGGCAGCTCTGCACAAGGAGCATCATCTAAGCCCCTAAAACTGCAGCTGGAAGCCCAGAGAACGTTTTAGGGGCGAAATATGCTCAAAAAAGTGATGTTTTTATGAAGCTTCATATGGGTTAAGTGAAGAAAACTGAACTTACTGCTCATTTATAAGGAGATTTGGGGGGTTTTCTGGTCACACCCATTGAGAATGGCTATGAAACCCCCCTTGATTTTAGAGCATCATTCACAGCCCCCCCTAAGCCCTGAGCTCTGCACTGGTTTCTAAAGCCCAACTGCACAAACCCTCCCTGCAGCGCTGTTGGGAAGCTGCTATTCCCAACCCACAGCCGCTTCCCTGTGTCCTTGGAGCTGGGTCCTTGAGCCCTGAGAGCCCCAGCACCAAGGCGAGCTTACGCACGTGGTGTCAATGCCAAAGGTGTCTGCTGTGAACCACTTGGTGCAGATCCCGCACTGCAGCTCGATCTCCCCCAGCTGCCGCCCGTTCTCTTCATCCACGGAGCCTGCTTGAGCATCCAGGACTTCCGAGCTGTCCCCTGCAGCCTCCTGCAAGCAGAGAGCAGCAGAACAGGGTTTAAAGCCAGGTTTCCCTCTATTTTGTATTGCTTTGGGGGTTCAGTTAGAGGCAGTCGGGTGGGTGAGGGTTTCATCGCCAGCAGAGAACGGGAAGCGGGGCCGTCAGGGTGGAAAATCCCTTTGGAATACGTCTGGAGTTTGGTTTTCAGCCACTTCCTGCATCTTTAGCTTAACCCTGACTTCAATGATGGAACACTGGTGCTGATGAGGTGCAATAGGATCCCAGTCAGGATGCTGATGAGGCCCAACAGGATCCCAGTCAGGATACTGATAAGACCCAACAGGATCCCAATCAGGATGCTGGTGAGGTCTCATAGGATCCCAATGAGGATGCTGACGAAACTCAACAGGATCCCAAGGAGGATGCTGATGAGACCAAACAGGATCCCAATGAGGATGCCAATAAGTCCCAACAGGATCCCAGTCAGGATGCTGATAGACCCAATAGGATCCCAATCAGGATGCTGGTGAGGCCTCACAGGATCCCAATGAGGATGCTGATGAAACCCAATAGGACCCCAGTGAGGATGCCACTGAGGCCCAATAGGATCCCAATGAGGATACCGATGAGGCCCAATAGGATCCCAGTCAAGATGCTGATAAGATCCAGTAACATCCCAATCAAGATGCTGATGAGTTCCAACAGAATCCCAATAAGGATGCTGATGAAACCCAACAGGATCCCAACGAGGATGCTAATGAGTTCCAATAGGATCCCAATGATGATGCTGATGAGACCCAGTAGGATCCCAATTAGGATGCCGATGAATTCCAATAGGATCCCAATGAGGATGGTGATGAAACCCAATAGGATCCCAATCAGGATACTGATGAGACCCAATAGGATCCCAGTCAGGATGCTGATGAGTTCCAATAGGATCCCAATGAGGATGCTGATGAGATCAGACTTCGGCATAGAAACATATGTGCTCCTGATACCTTCTTGCCCTCTTTGCCCACCTGATGTCTTTGTCCCTTCCCCATGACCTCTACAGCACCGCACCGCTCCCAGACACCATCCTTTGGGATAACGCACTGGTGCTAAGCGGGGAGAGCAGAAGAGCCGGACCCCCACCCCTTCAATGCGCCGCTATCCCAAGCGCTGCATCCCCACGGGCTCCACGCACGCAGCATCCCCCTCCCCACGGCCACGGCCCCGGCCCCGCACCTACCAGCGGATCCTTCCCGTTGGCGGACTCGGTCTCCAGCGCCGCGCTCACATCGACCAGGGCGGCCTCCGCGCTGCGGGGGCACAAAGCGGGGTTGGGGAGGGACGGACATGGGCACAAGGGGAGCACCGGAGGGGGGGGGGGGTCACGTACCCGGGGTCGGGGCCGGCGCTGCCCGGCTCCGGGGGGGCCGAAGGCTCCGTGGAGGGAGGCGCCGGCTCCGGGCCCGGCTCCGGGCCCTCGGCAGCGGCGACCGCGGGCACGGCGGTGGCCGCCGGTGCTGCCGCCATGTTGGCTCGCCGCAACAGCTCTCGCGAGAAGACGGCTTTCTCGCGAGATCCCAGGCTTCAAAGGGCAATGCCACGGTGGGGCCCACAGAGGAGGGGGAAGAGCAGCGCCACCTGCCGGGAAGGAGACGGCGGGGCGTGACGTCATGCTGCCTGGGGTTGACGTCATCGAGACACAGAGGGGGTACCCAAATGGGATGGGGGTCCCAATGGGATGGGATGGGCAATGGGGGCCTCGGTACCCAAATGAGATGGGGGGGTCCCAATGGGATGGGATGGGCAATGGGAGCACCGGTACCCAAATGGGATGGGGGGGTCCCAATGGGATGGGATGGGCAATGGGAGCACCGGTACCCAAATGGGATGGGGGGGTCCCAATGGGATGGGATGGGCAATGGGGGCGCCGGTACCCAAATGAGATGGGGGTCTCAGTGGGATGGGATGGGCAATGGGGGCACCGGTACCCAAATGAGATGGGGGTCTCAGTGGGATGGGATGGGCAACGGGGGCCCCAGACCCTGTTCTTATCCCCCAGGTTCTGCCCCAAACGGCGTTGGCAGAGGGGGAGAGCAAGAGCGGGGCAGAACCCTTGCATGGACTGGGCTGGGGCCGGGCCTGGGATGGTGCCCACAGGTACACCCTTGTCCCAGTCCCCACAGAGCAACGGAGCGGGAGCATCCCCGGCAGGACAGGGCTGGGAATGCTGAGCTGGTGATGGGGACCAAGGTGGAATGGATGGGTGGATGGATGGGTGTGTGGGTGGATCATGGATGGATGGATGGATGGATGGATGCATGGATGGATGGATGGATGGGTGGATGGGTGGATGGATGGATGGATGGATGGATGGATGGGTGGGTGGGTGGATGGATGGATGGATGGATGGAGAAAGGGAAGGGGAGAATAAGTGATGGGGATATGGAGGGATGAGGCTGGAGGCAGGGAAGGAAGAATGGAGAGAAAGAGGAAGGGAGAAAGCGAGGAACAGGAGAGATGGAAATGGGGAGGGACAGCTTGGGGGGGGTGAAGGGGAGGGGGGATGGAGGTAGGGACAGAGGGACAGGGAGAGGAGGGGAGGGGGCCGGGGCCACCCGGGGCGGCGCTCGGGGCCGCGGTACAAATAGAGCGGCTGCGGGTGGCCCCTGCAGCCATGCGGGTCCCGCTACGCTCCGCACCCGCGCTGGTGCTCTGCGCCCTCGCCCTGCTCCGCTTGGGCTGCGCTCAAACCCGCGCAGCGCCCGGGGCACCCGCCCGCTCCCCGCCGCGCTGCCCCGCGCTGATGCTGCAGCTCCTCCGCGCACCTCCCGCCCCGCTCCGCGCCGCCGCCGCCGCTGCCTTCAGCCTCTCCCCGCACGGTGAGTGGGGCCCCGGCCCCGGACATCCCTATCCCGGCAACGGCTCCATCCCCGAGCATCCCCGTCCCGGCACCGGCATCGTTCCGGGCATCTCTGTCCTGGAACCGGGACTGTTGTTGGGCATCCCTGTCCCGACACCGGCACCGTCCCGAGCATCCCAATCGGGGGACTGGCACTGTCCCGAGCATCCCCATCCCGGGACCGGCACCGTCCCGAACATCCCTGTCCCGACACCGGCACCGTCCGGAGCATCCCCGTCCTGGGATCCGCTCTGTTCCGAACATCCCTGTCCCGGGACCAGCACCATTCCGAGCATCCCTGCTCCCGGGATCCGCACCGTCCCTGAGCATCCCAATTCCCAAGACCTGCACGGTCCCCGGGATCCGCACCATCCCTGTCCGTTCCCTGTCCTGGGACTGGTACCGTTCCTGCGCATCCCGGTCCCAGGATCCGCACTGTCCCGGGCACCCCTGTTCCCAGGACCTGCACGGTCCCCGGGATCCGCACCGTCCCTGAGCACCCCTCTTCCCAACACCAGCACCGTCCAGAGCATCCTTATCCCGGGACCGTGACCGTCGCCAGGACCGGCACTCACTGTCCCCGAGCATCCCTGCTGCGGGTATCCCGGTCCATGCACTCCCACGGTGCCGGAGCATCCCTGTCTCTCCCCGGCGCCGGTGCTTTCGGGTTGGATCCCGGGGTCCCCTCACCGTGCCTCTTGGCTTTGCAGGCTCGGTGCAGAGCGGCTCCCGCTGGGCTCTCTCCTTCGACATGTCCTCGCTGTCCAGCAGCCAGGAGGTGAACCTGGCCGAGCTCCGCATCCTCCTGCCGCGGCTCTCCCCATCCCACAACGTGTCCCTGGACATCTACCACAGCCGACGGTGCCGGAGCGCCGGCCCCTGCCCTCACCAGCTCCTCCTGGGCTCCGTGTCTGGCAGCCCCTCTTCCATCCAAGCCCCTTGGAAAGTGTTTGAGGTCACCACGCTGCTCCGCTCCTGGCTGCACCAAGACACAGCCCCTGGGTACCACACGGCAGCGGAGCAGTGGGATGCGGGTGGTCCGGATGCAGCCGTGATGCACTCACCTGCCTTGAGTGATGCCGGCCATGGGGATGCGATGGACAGAGCCCTGCTGCTCGTGTTCTCCAAGGATAAATCACCGGGAGACCACAGCCTCATCAGGACAGCGGAAACCTCCAAGCACGTCATGCGTGAGAGCAGCAACCAGAGCAGCATCCCAGGGATGCGCCGGCATCGCCGCACCAAGAAGGAGAAGCAAAGGATCAAAGGGAGCGATGCTGGCGCTGCTGTTGCAGGCGAGGAGGGCAGGCCCCTGTGCAGGAGGGTGGATATGATGGTGGACTTCGAGCAGACCGGCTGGGGCAGCTGGATCGTCTACCCCAAGAAGTACAACGCGTACCGGTGCGAAGGGCAGTGCCCATCGCCCGTGGATGAGACCTTCAAGCCCACCAACCATGCATACATACAGGTAAGAGGGGTTGCATCCTCCTCCAACCCCCTCACCCTGCACCTCAACCCCATCACAAGGGGTAGGGGTGATGCTTTGCCTTTGCTGTGTGTCCCCATAGAGTTTGCTGCAGCTCTACAAGCCCAACCATGTGCCCTGCCCCGTGTGCGCCCCGGTCAGGATGAGTCCCCTCTCCATGCTCTACTATGAGAAGGGGGAAATCGTCGTCCGCCACCATGAGGACATGATCATCGAGGAGTGCGGCTGCAACTGAGGCTCATCCCCTCTGCAAGGGGCACGGCTCTGCCCTGGAGGCATCCCCAAGGACCCACCACAGGGACCGGGGTGCCTATGGAGCGGGTTGGGGAAGCTCTGGCTGTGCCGGAGGAGGAGCGGGGTGTGCGGACGGCCTCGTGCATGGATGGAGCCAGGCTCTGCATGGGAAGGGCCCTCGGCACCCCCCTGCAGCACCAGGGTGCTGGGTGCCCGGTGCTGGGTTATCCACGTGCCAGGGCTGGTGCTGCTCCGCAGGCGCAGGGATGGACTCGTGGGGCATGGCTCCTGGGGACACAACAGGGATCACGGCGGGGGGACAGTGCATACACCATCATACACCCACCATAGACCATCATACACCCGTCATAGACCATCATACACCCGTCATAGACCATCATACACCAACATACACCATCATAGACCATCATACACCCACCATAAACCATCATACACCATCATACACCAACATACAGCTGTCATACACCATCATACACCATCATACACCAACATACAGCTGTCATACACCATCATACACCATCATAGACCATCATACACTGACATAAACCTGTCATACACCATCATACACCCGTCATAGATCATCATACACCAACATACAGCTGTCATACACCATCATAGACCATCATACACCATCATAGACCGTCATACACCATCATAGACCATCATACCCCGACATACACCATCATACACCAACATACACCATCATACACCGTCATAGACCACCATACACCGACATACACCCATCATACACTGACATAAACTCATCATACACCATGATACATCCATCATACACCACCATACACCGACATACACCCATCATACACTGACATACACTCATCATACACCATGATACATCCATCATACACCACCATACACCGGCATACACCCATCATACACTGACATACACTCATCATACACCATCATACACCACCATACATCCATCATACACCATCATACAACAACATACACCCATCATACACTGACATACACTCATCATATATCCATCATACACTGTCATACAACAACATACACCGACATACACTCATCATACACCACCACACACCATCATATACTATAATACACCATTGTACACCACCATACACCATCATACACCCATCATACACCATGATACCCCAGAATACACTCAACATACACCCCTCACACATCATCATACGCTATCACACACCATCATACACCCATTATACACCACCATACACCAACATACACCCCTCATATATCATCATACACCATCACACACCATCATACACCCATAATACCCATTATACCCCTGGACCATACCGGGAGTGATGCTAAAGATGGACCCGGGGCTCCCGCATCCCTCTCCAGAGCATCATCCACTCACTGGGAGCCAGAGGGGGTGAGGTGGGTCTAACCCCCCATGCTTTCCCCTCTCCATGCGTGCTCAACCCCGATCCACCCCGCACTGGAAGTACTGAGAGGGGTTGGATGGTCCATCAATAAACTACACCCATTGAAAATACCTGGTGGTGAATGATGCAAAGGGGCATGAAAGATGCTCAACAGGAAGGTTTGTGTGAGATAACAAAGATGCTCTCACCCTCATGGGGAGAGCAAGCAGGGAAGCATCTGCAGGCACCGAAGAGGGGGGACAAAGGGGTTTTTCCAGCTGTATTTATCCATTGGGGATAAGGGGAAGGGGAATGCTCTCTAACAGCCATGCAAGCGGCTCTCTTTTAGGTTATGGGGCTGGCAGCTGGGAGCAGGGGAGCTCCAGCCCCACAGGATGCTCACTGACCCCTGCATGCCAGCCCTAGGGGGGCAGAGAGGGTCGGGTCCCCAGGCTCATCCCATTGCAGCCCTGGCTGTGGGTCTGCGCTCCACCAGCATCCCCCAGCCATGGATGGGGACATGGCACACACATGGGGACACAGTGCCATAGGGACACAGTGCCATGGTGACACACTTACATAGGGACCCAGTGCCATAGGGTCACAGTGCCATAGGGACCCAGTGTCATAGGGACCCAGTGCCATAGGGTCACAGTGCCATAGAGACACGGTGTCATAGAGACACGGTGTCATAGGGCTACAGGGCCATGGGGTCCCAACGCCATAGGGATATATTGCCATAGGGACACAGTGCCATGGGGTCCCAGTGCCATAGGGATACATTGCCATAGGGACACTCTGCCATGGCATCCCAGTGCCATAGGGATCCAGTGCCATGGGGTCCCAGTGCCATAGGGATACCTTGCATAGGGACACAGTGCCATAGGGACACTCTGCCATGGGGTCCAAGTGCCATGGGGTCCCAGTGCCATAGGGACCCAGTGCCATGGGGTCCCAGTGCCATAGGGATACCTTGCCATAGGGACACGGTGCCATAGGGATACCTTGCCATAGGGACACGGTGCCATAGGGACCCGGTGCCACGGGGTCCCAGTGCCCTGTTTGCATCCAGCACAGCGGAGCGCACGGTTGGGAGCACAAGGGCTGGGGCAGACCGAGGCCATCCCCATCCCTCCCCTCCGTGCCCCAGCAGCTCCATTCCACATCCCAAGCCCAGGCTGATTATCCCGAATCCACATCCCAGCCGGCGGACAAACAAAGCGTGTCTGGTCCCTGACAGCCCCGGCTCACCCGCCCCGGCCTCCTTACACATCCCGACAGCGCTTCACACCGCGACCAGCCCATCATTAGAGGGTCATTTGCAGGGGCTGGCAAGCAACGTGTGGGGCTAACCCCTGGCAGGAGGCAGCTGCACCCCGAAACCTGGGAATCGGGGCTCCGGAGGGGATAAATCCAAGCGATTTCGCCTTTTCCCCTATGGATTTGCTGCTTCCCCCCCCCTCCCCTCCGCCCCAACCCTATTGCCCTCCTCCAGCTCTATCTCTGCAATCTCTGCCCCTCCATCAAGCCTGTTGGAAAGCCAGCAGCGGCTTCAGAGGTTGTTGTAGGGCAGGGAGAGGCCGTTCCCAGTGGGAAAATAAAGGCTGGGATTCCAGGGCTGGAAGGAAAACATCAAAGCGGGGATGCTGGTGATAATAAAGCTGGGCTTTAGGCAGGGTGAGCCTGGCTTGGTCTGGGAAGCATGGATCTAATCTCGGAGCAGAGCGATGCTGCCCCTGCCCCAATACACAAACAGGGGCATGGAGCTGGCTCCCCAGTGCCTAAAGGGGCTATGGGGAACCTGGAGATGGGCTTTGGACAAGGGATGCAGGGGCAGGCTTTAAGCGGATAAAAGGGAGACTGAGACTTAGACATGGATTGGAGCAAGCTGCTCTAATGGAAGGTGTCCCTGCCCATTGCAGGGGTTGAAGCTTTAAGCTCCCTTCCAACCCATTCCATTCCAAGCCTGGCTAAACCACACCACTCACACTAAGAGGCTGAGGAGCTCCCTTTGCCATGGGTTGAGCATGGGGATGCTCATTGAGCATAAGGAGGGGATGCAGCTGTGTGTGTGGCTGCTGTGCACAGCTGGGATGCTCCAGGGAGGTCCGAGGGGACAAGTGTTGGCTTGATCCTTACATTTCCCATCCCTGCCCCTTTTTGTCTCATGCAGGGCGCCCGCATCCTGCTCCGCATCCCGGGATGAACAATACCTAACCCTGTGCCCCATTTGTACACACATCACCACCCTTGGGTCTGTCTGTTCATGCTCATTCCTTGTGTGTCCAGAGCAAACTGCGCCTATGCTCCACCCTGGTTGTGTGCTGCTGCTCCTCCAAGGTACAGGATACAGGCAAGGCTCCATCCTTCCCATACCTGCACATAGGGATGCTGAAGCCAAGCCACATCCGGGAGGGGAATGAGATGCTCCCCTACTTGAGGGCTTTCAACAGCAAAACCCCATTGAGAAACCGGTGCAAAACCCCATTGAGAAACCGGTGCAAACCCTAGGAACAGACCCCTCATAGACAGATATGGGTCCAAACCCACCCAGGATGAAGGATAACGAACGGGAGCAGGGGATGCTGAGACCCCACACCAAGAGAACTTCAAGGCACCGGCTTGGGGACAAATTGCACCCAGGTTCACACGTTCACAGCTTCCCTTTGCCCCCAGCACTGCAGCCCCAGGGCCCTGCTGGGCCCCCCTTGGTGCTTCTCAGGGTGCTCATCCTCCTCTGGAATTATTGGCTCTGAATTGCTGTCGGAGGCACCTGGTGCTTTGATGCTGCCCCAGATCTACATAAGCCGCAGATACCGATGCAAAGGCACGGGTAAAATACTTGACACTTCCAGCACTCGTTATCCCGAGGGCTGGGTGGGAGGGAATGGGATTTGAAAGCATTACTGGCAATAGCTGACAAGCCAAATAAGCCAGGCAGATGCTTTGGCACCTGGTACAAGGTTCCCGATCATGCCCTGGCCATTGCGGGTCAGAAACTCACAGCAGGACTGAAACCAGCTTGTTTCCCCCCAGTGGGTACCAGCATCGTGTCCCCAGCCCAACTTCACCATTGGGTAACACAGGACTGAAACCAGCTTGTTTCACCCCAGTGGGTACCAGCATCGTGTCCCCAGCCCAACTTCACCATTGGGTAATACAGGACTGAAACCAGCTTGTTTCCCCCCAGTGGGTACCAGCATCGTGTCCCCAGCCCAACTTCACCATTGGGTAACACAGCAGGACTGAAACCAGCTTGTTTCCCCCCAGTGGGTACCAGCATCGTGTCCCCAGCCCAACTTCACCATTGGGTAATACAGCAGGACTGAAACCAGCTTGTTTCACCCCAGTGGGTACCAGCATCGTGTCCCCAGCCCAACTTCACCATTGGGTAATACAGGACTGAAACCAGCTTGTTTCACCCCAGGATGGGCAGCCCAGTGGGTACCAGCATCGTGTCTCCATCCCAGCTTCACCACTGGGTACCACAGCAGGATTTAGCCCAGTGGGTGCCAGGTCTCAGAGCATCCTATCATAAGGACAAGCAGCAAACTGCACCTTAACCCTTTTCAGTGCTCTAAAAGTGTAGGCATCACAGTTGTGGAAAGGTATTTCAGGAAGGGTAAAATCCCATCCTTTCCCAGTGAAACCCAGTCTCTAAGGATAACATCAGGACAACTCTTCCATGCTCAAGCAACCACTGCATTTTGGTTAGGATAGAGCAGGAAAACAAGCCCCAGCACTGAAAACAGACTCACCTTACTGCAAACATTATGTCTGTGATATTTGCCTTCCCAAAACTGCCTGGCTTGGGATGAACTCCTATTAATGCAGTTTAAACCCAAATCTGCTGCTTCCCAAGGAATGGGAGCCGGAGGTCGCTGCGATGGGCAGGACCCATGAGCCCCACAGCAATCTCTAGCACCATTTCCATCCCCAAGCATGA